CCCCCCCCCCCCCCCCCCCCATCATTGGACTCTGTGGTCTGCCCCTCTGGCTCCTATCCTCACTTCTACCAGCTAGACGACCCAACCGGGGTCACATAGGAGGGGGGGGTTGGACCCCCTCCTGCGGTTCCTGCCTGAGATATTGTTGTCGCGAGAAGGGTACAGCAATCCCTTCCCTCGCGACTCATGAAGTCTATCAAGTTCACTAACAACGAGCTTTGCAGCGCGTCGCTTCCAACGGAACCCAGGATTAAATTAGCGAGAAAAAACTCTCTCTTGTCGGGACCCGAACCCATGACCTGACCCTTAGCAGGCTACGAGGCTACCCACTATACCACCGGGGCGACAGGTGCATAGTATCAGCATTGAATTCCACCACCCTACAACGAACTCTGTTAGGCTTCAATAATAGTATCTAGTGTCGTGCCGACCTCACCGGCCTTGTACACAAGGGACATTCTTCCAGGCTGGGTGCCCTCATAAGACGCACGCACATGTCAAAATCCCAGGTCCGGCATTATCTATGCGGCCTTATATTGCACAGGGAACCGCTAACAAAACACTTGCCGCATGTGCATAGGGTTGTCCCTGTTGATAATATGTGGAGGTGGGTGTAGAAGGTCATGTACACGGCACAATTTCTGGGTTTTGGCAACGGGAATATCAGATGTCAGATTACTTCCTACAGACTTGTGATTTTATCTTGTTCGAGCGAAGCGAGATTTCTAATCTTGCCTGAGAGGGCTCAGCGCAATATAGGGGCCGATGCAGGAAAAAAAGTGCGTGCGTGTGTTGTGTTCGCTTAAACTAGGTTTTAGAGTACAGGACTTGATTTGTGACTACAGGGCGCACTTTTTTTTTTTACACAGCAGAGCAGCAAACAGCAACAGCAGACAACACGCGCTCAGCGAGCAGACTGAACACACACGCACAGCAGACAACACGCGCTCAGCGGGCACAGCGACACACCAACAGCGCAGAGCGGACACAGCCACAGCGGCCTGCATGGCATGGCAATTGCATGATGAGTAGACGTCCGTTGGGGCCGATTGACCCGAACTCCCTCC